CTGGGCTCTGAGTACCATTTATTATTATTGGAGGACATGGTTCAATTGCATTTTTTTTTTCTTTTTTAGAAGAAGGCCTTTACCTAAGGGTCTACTTGATCTGTGTTATAGTGGTGTTACACTCTTTTTGTTGTTTTTACTAAAACAGTGTTCCACTTAAAACAATATTTTCATAGACCCATCTTACTTTGTGAATCAAGTTTCAAAGTATAAATAAATTGCTAACTCACTGTCTTTACATAGCAGACTTTTTATTAGGTTTTGCAAATATTTATTAATTCAAAAGTCATATTTTGGCTTCTGAGATTTCATATTAATTTTACATTAAATGGCCAGGTCCAACTGTGATTGAAAGTATAGTGACGAAATCAGCCTTTGTACAAAGTATGTCTGCAGGCTCCAGCTAGGACATTTTGTTTATTTTAAATAGAATTTATTTCTAAAACAGGTTTTTCAGGCTCCCCCTTCTATTGGCCTCACTGCTGCTTTACTAAATATAAAGTAAAAATGCATTTTCTCCAGCTTGAAAGGTTTCAGGATTTTGTGGAGTACTCCCACTGCAGCTATGGAGATGTGCTGCGTTCATCCACTCGAGCACTTGCGTAGACTTGTTAGCCTGATGCAGAGGGACACCTGCTTCCTGTTAAAAGTGAGCATTGTCATTATCTGCTCTTCTGCTGAATTACTCATTATCTGGGAGGATACTATTAGTGCTGTAGTAAGGATTTATTGAGTGCTAAAAGTGAGAATGTTGGATTGGTTTTTGACATGTTTTTTTAATTGCTTCACTGTCATCCATTTCCCTCACATAAATTATATAGGACCAATTTTCTATTGCTGTATAACCTATTACCACAAACTTTGAGGCTTAAAATAATACAGTTTTTAAAATTTTTACGTTCTGTAGATCAGACATCTGACACTGGTTTCACTGGGCTAAAAATCAATGTGTTGGCTGTTCTTTTCTTTAGGCTGTAAGGAATAGTCTTTTTTTTTTTTTTTTTGCCATTCCTAACTCCAGGAAGCCACAGGTAGTCCTTGGCTCATGGTCCTATTTTTCAACTTCAAAGCAATGGCAATTGAATCTATTTCAGGTTCGGGTTTTCTGTGTCATCTTCCCATTTCTGTCTGATGCAGCTAGGAAAGGCTTGGGTCCATGGATAATCTTGGATCATCTTTCCACCCTGAAGTCTTTAATTTTAATCAAGTATATAAAATCCTTTCTGCTATTTAAGGTAACATATTCATAGGTTCTGGAAATTAGTGTATGAACATTTTGGGGTGACTGTTATTCTGCATACTACAGAACCCAAACATATTTGTAGAATACTATTTTACTAATTTAAAACTTCTGGGCTAGCTTCACACTCGATGATTGTATGAACAGGATTCCACATGACTAACTATGTGGTTCAGGTCCCAGACCCAGCAGCATGAGGAACATGTATGCCCCTGATCCTGAAGGAAGGGAGAAATGGAGGAGACATGATTGTGATGTGACCATTTCCTGTGGGCGGTGATTTCTTTACTCTTCTCCCCCCATGAACTCATGGGCCCTCTGTCGAATTAAATAAAAAAATCTGTAGTTATAAGAGTACAGGTATAATTTGAATTAAAGCTGAGAAAATTGGAACCAGCAGGTGGTGTAACGGTTAAGGCACTGCACTCCCACATAACCCACTGTGGTTCAAGTCCCAGACCTGGCAGCTTAAAATTCAGGCTGGGTGTGTGTGTGTGTGTATACCCAAGATCCTGAGAAGAGAATTGAAGGAGAAGGGATTGAGGTGCGGCCATCCCTGCTGAAAATGATTTCTCACTTTCTGTGTTTCTGTCTCTCCAGTGATCTTATTTGGCCCATAGCAAAAATTTCTAAGAAAAAAAAAAACAAAAAAACCCAGAAAACTATATAACCTTAGTTCTGACTTTTTTTTCTTAGCTCCAGACTTTTACCTGCAATTACCTGTTGAGTATATATATATATTTTTTTT